TGAAAGAACCCAACTCACAGGGGAAAAGATTATAGGATTGGCTATGAACAGTCCTGGGTTGAAGAACAAGTCCCTTGTAATCTTGTCATGTTTTAACCAAAAAATTGCTCTCCTGCCTTTGTATTTTTGTGGTACATGTGTTTGAGCAGATTTATTTTACTGTCAATGCTGATTCTCTGTAGTTTGTATTTTGGGGGGTGTTTTTGAGGCTCTTCTAGAGACAAAACCTAAAGTTTGCTCCATTGGTTAGAAAAAGTACATTTAGAATATAGACCTGTGAATATATTCCTGTATGTGTATCCTGTGCAGGAACACATTGATTTACAGTAACTATAATACTATATTTGGGGTCTGGAGTGCTTATATTAAAGAAAATCCATCATGATGACAATGTAATAAATGTAATATGCATGTTGAGATGAAAAATATAATTCATTTTGATAAGCCTTATATATCCCATATTACTGTGTTCTTTGAGGAACATTCTCCCTGTTCTCTTTCTCTCTCTTAATATATGTCTAAAGTCTTTTCCTTATGTCTTTCCTACCTAGCATCACCCTCTCCTTGTTCATTTTCTGTCCAAAGCAAAACCCTTCAGAGCAAATCTATGTTGAATTCCTACTACTCAGGTACTAGTGCCAGACTTTTCTTTCATTTCTAAATGTCCTTTGCTTTTGTGTGTTTCCCAATATGACCTATAGACTGAAGCTTCTGAGTGTGAGATACAGCTAACCTTGTTTTCATTTTCTGTAACTTTTTTCCCCTGTTGATCTTCTGTTGGTTTCCATTGATCCGTGTCGTGTGGGTGAACGGAATTCCATCTCAAAGTATCATCAGACACTGTCCCATCGACCACGCTGTTAGGTAAGAAGACAGGTATGGTGTACTGCATTGGAGAGCAAACACACTCATTGCATCATGAAAATAACATGGACAAAGCACTGTTAAGTGTTTGGGTTCCAAAAGCATAATCAATCATCTGGTCATGTATTAATTGGAACGTTTTCTTATCACTCGTGGTTTATTATTGCTGTTAAATGATTTATTTTTTTTTTTTTAAAAAAAGGAGAGTTCAAAAATTAAGGTTTAGGACTTCTATCAAGTATGTATAGTTTATTTCTGTGAATGGGATTTGAGGTTCTGGGCCAAATTTTCACATGCCAACTTGCCTTAGGCTTAGACTCATGTAGATGGTTGTGTCTGTGCAGCACTGCAACCAGCTCTGGGGTCCCCAACGTAACATGGGTGTGGAACTGTTGGAGCAAGTCCAGAGGAGGTCACGGAGATGCTCAGAAGGCTGAAGCATCCCTGCTGTGGGGACAGGCTGGGAGAGCTGGGGATGTTCAAAAGAGGATTTGGAAAAAGCTCAGAGCCCCTTCCAGCACCTAAAGGGGCTGCAAGAGAGTCAAGAGGGACTTATGACAAGGGTTTGGAGTGACAGGACAAAGGGTAGTGGCTTCAAAAAAGAAAGAGAGTAGGTTTAGATTTGATATTAGGGAGAAATTGTTCCCTGTGAGGGTGCTGAGATACTGGCACTGGTTGCCCAAACTGTGACTGCTGCATCCCTAGGAGTGTTCAGGGCCAGGCTGGACAGGGCTTGAAGCAACCTGGCCTAGTGGAAGGTGTCCCTGCCCATGGCAGGGGGTTGGAATGAGATGATCTTTTAAGTTCCTTTCCAACCCAAACCATTCTGAGTCAATGATTTATGAATTCCTCCACTATGAAGCAGAAAGACGATGTGTGGCTGGTCAGAATCTAACCAGTGGTGTTTATCAGACCTGTCATTTTGGATTATCTGCAGTAAATGTTCAAGTCCCGACGCAGTAATCAACCATGGCTGCTTTAAACATCACTCTGAGCATGTTGAAGGGCCTTGGTTAGACCAGGAAGAAATGACAACCAGTGTCTGAAGTGCCTTGGCTTACAAACTGACAGCTTGGGCATAGAGGCTTGGAGGGGCTGCCACAGCACACATTGATCCTGAGGTCTGGCAAAATGCTGATGGCAATGAATGAGGCCTGTTTGAAAGAGGTGGGGAAGGAGAGGTGTTCTTTTTCCAGAAGGTTTGTTCTCATTTCCCAGAGACTCATTGTTGTCAATAGAAAAGTCCAAAGGCATGTTTAGCTCTTGGCTATACTTTAGAACCAGGGCCCTGACCTGCAGTATGCTGGAAGATGTCAAACTGCTATTAGTTTAGCATCTGTGAAAACCTGGCCATCATCTGGGGAGCTGTTTTCCCCTCTCTGTCCTCAGAGAATTAAGGGCTGAACTGTACATTTCATATTCTGAAGCTCAGGGAGCAACGAACAGGTTCAGTCTGTACTTCCCATGACAAAGCAGAAGCCAAAAAAAAGCCCCCAAAACTTTTCAAATCCCAAATTTTAGAGAGGAAAAAGAGGGAATAGGAACTGAACAGGTATTGTGCTTATGTGTTCAAAACTCTTTCAAATTTCTCCTAACCACAGTATCTGAGTAAAGATTGATACCCCTGTTTTACACATGGGAAGTTAAGAAAAAAGCACTTTTAAGACATGAATTGCACAGACTGGTCACTGCCCCAGTTCCACCTGAATTTAACAGGCTGTGAAACAGCCCTTGGCATTGGAGATATTTCTATCCTGTGACTTGAAGACGAATTAAAACCTCAGTGTTCTGGCTTCTCAGACATATTCATCAGACACTGGATGTCGTTGTATGAGCAAAATAAGTTTAATTTTTGATGTTTATTAATATTCATTCCCAGGAAAGAAAAGATATCTTAAAAAGGACATCAGTCATCCCTCTACCAATATCCGTCCTTGGGTACTACCTGCAGTTCAGTACTTTTTGTTCCCATCTGTTATGCCTTCTGCTAATAAATGTTCTGTATCTGCAGTAGTGGATGACTCCCTAGGCTTGGCTGTGACATGATTTGTTGATAGTAAGATACAGGGGACTTTGCTTTTGCCTCTACCCTATCCCATGCTTGATTAACACTTTTCTATGTGATGCCTGTTTTTAGTGGCATCATTTACCTTTTCAATCCTAGACAGCTCTGGATTTTAAGCGTTATGCACAAAAACTTTCACTAGAGAAGTAAATATCTAAAACTAAGAAATAAAGCAGGTAGATTTCTAGGGAAGACAAACCTTAGAGGTTGTTTCTGGAGAAAATGTTCATGTCCAGTAGCTCTGAAAGATGCTCAGGAGATCTCATCAGGGCAGTCTCTTCAGGGGAAGCAGCATGTCCTTCCCTTGCATCCACTGGCATCTCCCAGCAGTGTGTAAGGACATTTAGCCTTGTTCTCATTTCAGCTGCTCATGAGACTCCTCACTACAAAAGTCACTGCCCTCCAGAGAGGATGGAGGGTGTAGAGCCTTGTAGCTCCCTGCAGATGGGCAGAACAAGCAGAGAGAGCTCACCGTCATGAAGTCTCACACAAAATCTGACCTCTGCTTAAAAAACATAGAAATTTGCCCTGGATTTCACTCTTCTGTAGCTTGGATGGGCTTTTGCCCATCCCTGATCAATCTGCTGTGGGTATATCCACAATCTAGTTTGAAGAAGTCAAAGATGTTGAGAAGACAATATTGCTGCTTTAGCCAGTGTTGCCATTAGTGGCTTTTTCAATTGTGGGATCAATTATTTTTATGCAATAGAAGCTCAAAAATCAGTGGCTTGAGCTGTTCTGTAGTGTCTGTAGCCTCCCAGGCCATGTCAGCCTCTAATGAGGAGCTGTGGGAGAGGCTTTGCCATCATTTCACTGTGCTAATGTTGGCTGGCAGCAGAATGAGCAACAAAGGCACAGACCCTCGTAGGTTTGTACTTGAGCTGAATTTCTCTTACATTTCTTTCTGTCAGCAGAACATCAGGTGGTTTGGAAAAGTCTCCCTTCCAGTCTTTAGTGGCTTCTAGTTTTGGGTGCTGCTTTGAGTTGACAATAGTTTTTCAGCTGTAACTAATGAATTGCTCTGAAAGATGGGGAGGTCTGGCAGCCTCTTTTAACCAAAGAGGCAAAGAGATTTGATTTGGCTTAGTGAGCTCCACACATCTGAGGAGCTGCACTGTTACACTCGTACCCAGTAGTCCCAAATCTTTGCCCACCTCACCAAAAACCATCTTCCTTGCATCTTTAATGAGATTTTCTTCTCCTCTAACTCATGAAGAAAATGTATGTTATAGTTTTTATAAGATTAGTATACTCTGGTGTAAGGTGTTAACCAAGCAAGTCTTAAAAATCTCTAGAGAAAATTACATGCTTTTAAAAAAAATTTGGATATGAGGCTTCTTCATAGTCTTTGAAATGAAATGTGCATCCTCTGCTCTCTGTCAAACTTGCTGTCAGAAAGCTTTTGTGAAGGAATGTGCCTTTCCATAGCTCAGTTGACATCATTAGATAAATGATGTTTTGACTTTGGTTTGCAATACCACTGTTAACATTGTATAGAGCATATTATAGCTGGATATTTATCATATAATAAAGCCTTGATGCACACAAAAAAATTAAATTAATTTTTTCAGCTTGCACCATATCCCTAGTGTAAAGGAAAGAGGTATTAGCCATGCTGTAGTCATCCTCAGAAGATGTCAGCTAATTGACAACCCTTACTCTGGTGCAGAGAGACTGGCTGTGTGTGTAATTAAATCCATCACAAACACCACTCACAACATAATTTATTTTGTGCAAAGGGTGTCGTATTGCATCTTATCACTTGCCAAGGCTAAGAGAATAAAAATATAAGCAGAGATGATAGGCCTGTCATTTCAGACACAGGAGGAATTTGTGGCTATTAAAGCAAAAGTTTTGCAAGAAACTTCTCCACATATAGAAGTTGACACATCAGTGCAGCTTTGCTTTCAGATGGCTGAGGCGTAGGTTAGTTTTCTGGTCAGGAGGCAACATCATACTCTGTGCCCAGATTTCTCAGCCTGACTATATTTACGAAACAAGATGATATCTCTAAAAGCATCTAAAGTTTTAATCCCCAAAGGTTTTCTCTGGAGGAGCAGGTTCTCTCCCAGCAGCCTTATTGGGATGTTGCACAGGGCTCTGATCACACAGAGCCACTTCCAGGCTGGGAATCTAATTTCTGCAGCTGCTCTTCATCTTATCTGTGACATCTATGGAGAATTTTATCAGTTTTTCTGCGGAGGGAAACATATTTATTTTACTTGTCTGGGTAGCACAAAAGTTTATAATACAAGATGGTGTAGCAGCAGGCAAGCAATAATATCTCACCCTCAGGGTTACCCATCAAATGGGGAAAGATTCTACCTAACTGGCCTGTGCTGCAGCTCTGCTCTGCACACTGGACTCTGTTTCTCTTGGCAGAGTAAGACCTCAGAGTTGATTTCTGCAAGTTCCTGTTTGTTTCTCCAACAAAGAAAGTCACAAGAAGCACCATTTCATAAGCAGGGAGAGTTTGCCAGTGTTAAAAGTGAAGTCAACATTGTTAAATTTGACTATCTGCAGTTATACACTAAACACATAAGCTGAGATACCTGAAGAGTTTTACAGTCAGGCTAGTTATGTAGGAGCCAGCAAATCATTCATTTAATGTCTTCTACAAAATTTCAGGGTATTCTGTAAACTCTTAGGCTGTCACAGAAGCACAGAATGGTTTGGGTTGTAAGGAACTTTAAAGATCATCTTGTTCCACCTCCCTGCCCATGGACAGGGACACCTTCAACTGGACCAGGTTGCTCCAAGCACCATCCAAACTGGCCTTGAACACCTCCAGGGATCATCAAAGTGTCATCTTCCAGAAATCAAAATGTCTGTGCTGGCAAAGGACTTCTCAGGATGAGGAGTACGAGTGTTGCACTGAAGGTTAACCATCAAGCAACAGACTTTGTTACCGCAAACTGCTGATGTTAGAAACAACCCTCTCACAAAGGGCATGTTTCCAGCAACATGCAGAACACCTTTGTTATTTACAGCTGCACAAAAGGAACTGTGGAGAACTGGAGATAGTTCTAGGAAGGACCCAGAGCCCTGAACAGCCTGCCCTGCTGCAGAAGCTGTCCATGGATTTACTTTATCAGAGGAACCAAAGAAGTGATTTGACCAGTGCCATCATGGGTCAGGATTTCAAATGCTCAGAGGACTCTTTATTCTAACAGAAGGTTTAAGAAGATTCAGTGCCTGCAATTGAACTAAGGCAAAATCAAATTGCAATTAAGAAATGTTTAGGCAGGAAAGGGAATTACCCATTGCCACAACTTTTGGGGTGAGAACGGAATCACCATCTCTAGAAATGTTTTAATTTGGATTATTTCTTGGAACTGTATTCCATCCTTGGTGTGCAGTGGAATACGCAGGTGTGTGTTCCTATCAAAAACACAAGGACATGTGACAAGACATAGGATGTGCATATTAAATATAATACAAAAGACCTGATGCACAATTCTGTGTGTTTAGTAATTTTGAGTATTAGAGTGAATTATTTCATGCATCTTCCCCCCAAGAAAGCTATTTGCTTGCTTTGCTTTTCTCACTGAAAACTCATTGAAGGCACACACACTTTGGAGGCACTGCCAGAAACTCAGTGAAAAGTCTTGGCAAATTTGCCCTGCAAAGTCCTCCTGATTTGCAAGGAGTATGTTTGTGAAAAGGGGACAGAGAGGAAGGGACCGTGGAAAATTGCTGTGACTTGCCTTCAGTGCAACAATTAAAGCAGAAACCTGACTTTGCTGGTACCTTTGTTTTCTTTTCCAGCCATAATGATACCAAAAGGAATGAGATGTGGTTTATAGCTGAAACCTGCAGGAAAAGCAAAACCTGTTTGCTAACCCTCCAGAGGCTCTTTTGGCTGACTGTCCTAGAGAGAGCTCAGTTTGCTGCTACCTCCCCTCCTACCTGCATTTTGAATTGTTCACAAAATTGCTGTAAGCAGCACATCTTGGGAGAGGGTGCTGTGCCTTGCCTGAGCACCTCATTAACCATCCTTAGCTCCAGACTCATGGGGTGATTAGATGGAGAAGGAACAATATGTTACTTGCATCAGGCTTTATTAGTGGAACATGTAAATGCCAGGCTTGCCTCACCCATAGCAATTTGTCTCCATAAAAGCCCTTCTACCCTTCCCTTGGCCCAGATAAAATGCTGGTGGGAACAGCTCACAGTCCTGAGCTCGTTCAGTTGTTGGTTTGGGTTTTCTTCCAGGTAGCACAGAGGCCATGCACAATGTGTTTGTCGTGGAGGTCTGGAGGAGGTGATGAACTGCTTAGTTTCAAGTGTATGTCCCAGGGTTGAGAGTAGGATGACCCAGATTTTGTGATACTCTGTTTTAAGCAGAGACACTTGGCTGAGTGAGAGGCACACAAAGGCTGTGATGCCACAGATTACACTTGACGTTTTGCCCTGTGAGGGTGCTGAGGCACTGGCACAGGTTGCCCAGAGAAGCTGTGGATGTCCTGTCCTGGGAGTGTTCAAGGCCAGGCTGGATGGAGCTTTGAGAAACCTTCTAAAGGAAGGTGCCTCTGCCCATGGCAGGGAATTGGAACCAGGTGAACTTTAAGTTCCCTTCCAACTCAAACCATTTGTTGATTCAATAATATGCTGCAAGACTTGCTCCTACAATCAGTGGGGTCTGTACCAATTTTATCTCACTGACCAAAGAGACCAGTTATCACTATGGCCTCAAAGGCCAGAGACAGATCTCTCTTTGCTGCTGGGCAACTTCTTCTAGTTCCAAATCCATAGCACAAGCACCTACCTTGAAGGAAGTTATTCTGGAAAGGAGGAGGCATCACTGTCTGACTCTCACCTCTCCCTATGACATACAACTTTGAGAAGAGAGCCAGGTACACCAGAATTAAAGGAACTGATGAAGAGAGAAATTACTAATTGCCTGCCAAAGAGATGGCTGATCTGAGCTACATTTTACAAGCTGCCTGTGCTCTGCATGTGCCCTCCCTGAATTAGCACTGAAGCTGCACATTAGTTTTAAGGCTCCCTCTCGAATAGGGATCTAGGAATGTTTTTTAATTGGGGTTGATAAAAATGTAGCATTACTTGCAGGTTTCTCAGAGAAGCCAGTTGTGAAATTGGGTTTGTATTAAACCTAATGATGGAAAATTAAGCATAGTACGTCTGTCGGAAATGGTCCGCGATAAAAATCTTCTCCTTTCCATTACAGGAGGTTAATAGGGAATAGGAGAGGAAAGATGCACTGGGAAAGCGAATCCAACTAGGGGAATTAATAAGCCTTGAAATTCCCTCTGTTCATAGTTCTCACACTGTCATTAGTCGGAGCATTAGGGATGATTATACAAATGCTTTGGATGTTACTCTTCCTTAAATCCCAAATTTATTCACATTTTGGATGTGAAGGTTTCTTTGCTTGAGCCATAGCTCTGTAAATCTCTCTGTCCTGGCAATACGACTGTGTTTATGAGAACCTGGGACTCAGAAATCCTTAAATTCAGGAGTCTAATCTTCAAAGCAGATGATCACTGTGTTAATTTATTTCAGAAGAGCAGGATGTGTTCAGCATCTCTGATAATTCACCCACCAGACATTTTTATCTCACGCTGGTGAT